AGGACGCTAGACTAACACCACCAGTGTCAACCCTTCTCGGAACGGTCTTCCAAAAGACAGCGGTTCCGGGTCGAGTCACCGGGCCGGTGGCGCGTGCGCGTGCGCGGCGCGGCCGCGTCTCGCGTGTGACCTCATCGGATCTGAGGCGGGTCAGGCGGACAATCCCCTCACCAGCTGCAACCAGCCTTTGCTTCTTGAAAGCAGGATGTTTCGTTGGGGACGGGACCGTTTTGGAGGTTGGGCAAGAATTCGTGGCATGTCACACCGTTCGTGGCCAGGACGGCGCCTTGGCCGGCTTGGTGCCGGTCGAATGGTTTTTAGATGTTTTTAGTGTTTCGTTTTGTATTTGACGCTTCATTAAAGGATACGGCTGGGAAGAAAAATCAAGGAAAGAACGATCATCCAGGATGAGGATCAATTTCATGTAGTCAGAAATAGTGGAAACAGTTGTATATATAATCCGCAGGCGAAAAAAGACTCGTCAAGCATAGTGAAGACAATTAGCAAACAAAAAATATATTGTACATGATTTTTTACCCGGCAAGATATGAACATGAAAGTAACACGAATTGACATTAATCATTAATTAATGTTTTTCTTTCATATCTTGGTCTTACAGGATTCTTCATTCTAATCCTACTCCTACATGATTGATGAGAATGAAGACCCCACCTTGAAAATAAGACCAACCCGCCAAACTATGAAGTTTGAATTCTTTGAATATATAAATAGGTGAATGGAAACACAGAACCTTTATTGACAGATTTCTTATCAGGGTATTTTTCATTAGTGTCTATGTTATTCCTGCAACATTCCTTATAAACAATTTTTGCATTTTACTACTTTAGGACCTTTCCTTTTTCTTCTGGCTGGTTCAGCGCGAATGTATGCTGGCTTGGATCATCCACGCAAGACAATCCATTGACCTACATCCACATCCATCATCCATCAATCAGGCTTTACCTGTGGCGGCTCTAGGGGTCTTCATCTATATCCACAGAGAGAGGGCTTGGTCCAGACTCTTCGAGCGCTTTTCTTAGAACGCTCTACACCACCGCTCTCGTTACGAGGCTGGTGGTGCTCTTCGGCCTTGGAATGACCATGGTGACACGTACCTGGTCCGCCCAGAAGGGAGAAAACATCAGCCGCTTGGGCCCGCAAGAAGGGGCCGAACCGCGGTGCGGTGCGGAACTACCTCCGCTCCCGAGCCGTTTTCTTTCGCCGATGGAAACGTGGGGTGGAGCGAAGTACAGCTTTTCGGTGGGTGATGCACATGGGTGATGCACATGGGGGGAAAAGGAAGAAAAACACTGTGCGTGAAGGTCAAGGTGATTTTTGCTTTCCCCATGGCTAAATCCATGTAAACCCTCTTCTTCTGCATGGGGAATATGTTGTGTTTGTTTTCCAGGTTCCTTAAGCAAATCCAAGTACATGGTTTGCATCTCACTTGACGTTACTTGACACAGGTCGAATGCCCCAAGTCGGACGCGGACTCTTCGCCGACCCCGGCGGCCCCCCGTCTCTTCCAGGTTGCAGGGTGGGCGTTCACACTGGTGAATGCGTGGGTGGCATGGCCCGGATCCCGGCTTCGGCCGCGCGCGAGGGGGGCGCCCGAAGCCCAACGCTGAGACTCAGAGGGGTTTCCGAACAGATCCGTGAGTGGAACATCGTCCTGAGCCCCTTTTTCGAAGCCGGACGCTAATTAGAAGCTCCCTCCTCCCATCCATTTGGTCCATTCCACACATTCTACTTGTAGATGATAGGAGAGAGGAGGGACCGCAGGGACCGCGACCCACGACGCACCGCAGGGACCGCTCACCGCAGCACGACGCCTCCACGTTGAGGTGGGCGAGTCGATGCAACGCTACCACCTCTTCGGCGATTTGATGCGCCGCCTCGAGCTGCTGGGCCGGATCTTCGGGAACCGGGTTCGCCCGTTCTTGGCGGGCGAAAGAGGTGGAGAAGAGGCAAGCCATTTGACGCTGGCATTGGAAGCACCCCCATTATCATCTTACCAGAATCTTACCATTTTGTTCAATGTTTGGATGAGAGCCAGTTCACCCCCCGTGATCTTCATCATTTAATTTGTGATCTAGCACAGCGGGGTTGTCTTTGGCTTTGGGTGGTTCTTGCCTGCCCGTTTTGTGCTGGCAAACGCATATAGGGCATGCAGAAGAACCTTGGCACATCTGAGAGACATTTATGGACATATATACATCGTACATACTCGTACATCATTACATCATCAACCATATTAAATTAATAATTAGACAAAGGTCACTGTGTTTCAGGATCCAATATTCTTTCTAGCAGGTCGAGTGCCCTGGTCATTTGGAGATGCACGACCAACGACCCAGACGGTGAAAGCTCCAGACTTTGGACGTTGAGGAAGGCTGCCAATGCTGGAAGGATGAGAACCTGTCTTTACAGACCAGAGGTGTTTTCCGCGCAAATGGCCTGAACATGTCCTTCCTCGCCCACTTTTGAGCTGCACCGCTCAAATGAATTTTCTGGCTCTTTTCCTTTCTCCCTGGAAGCATCCTCTTGGGATTCAGCGCTGTAGATGCGATGCCGTGAAACTCCTTGTCGCACACAGGGGGCTGTTTGATGGCTGGAAGCGCGGACTTGTGCAACGTCATGTAGCAAGTGCTGGATTCCGTCATGTATAATATATATAAATATAGCGGCCTTTTCACGATCTAAGAGCATTGAACAATTCCCTCCTTCATGATGCTTCGTTCTGTCTCGTCGATCTCTTGCGCAATGCCGTCATATCGCCCGCCCGCTGAGGATCCTCGAAGCAACCGCTCCGACGGGACAGGTTCAAGTCAGCAGGCGAGGATCACGAAGAGTCGGAGAAGGTGGTCCACCGCTGGAGGGGACTATGGGGAGAACGTGGTTGTCCGACTTGAAGCCTCCAACAGGTCGGAGACCGGAGACCTGAGACCGGACCAACTTGTTTGCTGGCATGGGGACCGTTGGTTCGAAGCGGTGGAAGGTTTCGCGGGTGTGAATGGAGATTCCTTGACGAGAGCAGCCGGCGGCCAGGGCTTGCAAGCTAGCGGTGGAGTCGCAGATCCAACGTCACCCTCAAGAGGCGCCGATCTATGCTGCGCAAGCGCTTCCGCAGATTCTCGGGGACGCGCCGGGAGTTACCGGGGCGTTGGCGTTGTTGTTGTTGTTGTTGTTGTTGTTGTTTTTTTTCTTCTTTTCTTTTTTTTTGTGCGTTTGGTTTGGTTTGGTTGTTTGGATCGGTTTGGTTCTTTGGATTGGTTTGGTGGCCGCCAGAGTGGTTGAAGCGGCGAAGTGGGTGAAAGTTGGTCAGTGGAGAAGTGCACACATCTGATCACTCAGCACTTCAACTATCAGAAAAGATGAAGTGATGAGACAGTATAGGAAAAAGATGAAGTTGATGAGCTCCTGCCCAGTTCTTCACTGTTTAAAGGACTAGTGACTAATGGTCAGACACAGTGGATAAGCCATCCGAGCCAGATGGGCGGATGAAGGGTGGCACTGATTTCATCATGTGCACCGGCGCATGGCGGCACGACACTTCTGGTGGACTTGGCCGGCCAGCGCCAGCCTGGTGCCGTCCATTAGGTATAAAGGAGTCCCGACAGCATCACTGCAGCCCTGCTCTCCTTTGGTGGTTCTTGTTGGATGACTTGTAAGATGCGCGGTCTGTTTGAACCCGTGATCTGTGTCGCCCAAAATCAACACCCGCAACCCAAGTCTTCAACAATAACATCAAATTACAGCTAAGTTGTGCTAAGCTCCTGGCAATGCAGCTGTTTTGTCTAAACGGATTCATTCCACCTCCTGACCACCAGAAGACTGCATATTCAGACATAGTGGAAACATGAGGGAAACAAACGCACTGTTCACACAGCATCAACACTCAGAGACGTCCGATGCTCGTAGAGTCCACATACTTTCAGTCCCCAACTTTCACGGGGTGAACGGGGGTGAACTCCACTTCCAATGTTGAGTCAGAGTGTACCTATACATTTCACCCGGCAAATCACCCGAAGGATCATCATGATCATCCATAAGTCTCCCTACTTTCAACACCTATATATATATATATATGAGCCTATATGCTTTTGGAGTGTCAAACCCCCACACCGAACCACCGCAGAAACACCGAACGCTCGCTGCCCCGATTCCTACGCTTCTGTTGCGTCACGCCACTCGGTGGCTTGACGCCTCTTGACGCCATGTCGGTCCCACCGAGCTCGGTTCCCTTCGGCCCTCAGGTGGCGGATGTCATGGAGCACGTGATTTTCCAAAGCCGTGCAGAGGAGGTCCTCACCAGCTCCAAGGGCTCCTTGGTGCGAACCACAGCGCCGAACGGTGCACGGAAGGCCGAAGGTTCCCCCCTCGTCTTAGGGTGGTGCGGTGGGTGGTGCGGTGCTCGTGAAGCTGGAAGAAGAACCTGGACGTAGAACCGGAAGAGAGGGCTTCGCCAGCCCGTCGGGTGGAACCGAACGAACACCCGCACCGTCACCGCCTGTCGCAGTAACCACGTGGACCCGTGACCGAGCGACCACGGCTCCAGGTGAGGTCCACGACTACAGTGAGGTGGGTGGGCCGACTTACCTGGCCCGGCCCGCGCCCAAGACGCACACGCAGAAAAGGGGGGCGGCGGAGAAGCAGCGGAGCACAGCGGTGAGGGAGCGGTGAGCGAGCGGAACTGGAGGAGGTGGGATGGAATGAGCAGTCGCAGGCCCTGAGTTCAGGGGCTCAGGGATGTTCCTGAGTTCAGGGGATGTGTAAGTATAGGTAGCCCATTGCTTCAGCTTCCGTCCAACAGAAGTCTTTGATCACCAGACTGAATTTTGACGAACTTTGAATTGACCAGCAGAAAGCTCAGGCCGTTCATCTTGGTTCCATTCTGCTTCAGAACCCAAAACCACCTCAGTGACTTCCCACCTAAACGTCACCGCCGAACGGTGACGGAAGCAGTCCCCGCCTCGTTCACGGGCGGATGCGACCCGCAGGATGCGGCTGGTGACGTTTGGGTCTGCGAGCTTGGAGTCTCAACTCGAGCAGGTGGGGATGGACGACGTGGTGACGGGGGCAACGCCCGTGGGCGGAGCTTCTCCGCGGACGGGTGAAAGCCGGGTTTCGGCCGGCTGGCCGACTGGGGCACGGCTCATGTGTGGGTGGCAGTGGTCTGTGACTTGGGACGGTAGCCTGCTGAGCCTGAAGGCACTTCTTGGGGCGTTTTGGACTTTGGGGGGTGAAGGGAGTGATTTGAAGTCCACTGATTTAGACTCCTGAGAGGTTCCCAGGAGTGCCGCACGTGCCGCACGCCGGAGTTGAGCTGAAGTCTGGGACCGGCTTTTGGACCATGGACAGTGCAAACGCATTGATGCACTGCACACAAATGCAAGAACAATGCTTCAAAGGATCACTCCCCCTTTTGTTTGCACCTGACTGGATGGTGTTACCATATTTTTCCACTTAATTAGGAGGATGACATGCTTCTGCTTCAACGAGTTCTCCTTCAGCACTCTTTCGGCCTCCTTCAGGCGATGGCCTCCTTCGGAAAGATGTCACGTGAAGGGTGCGGTGTCTTTATTTACTTTTCCGCGCGCGCGGTGTGCTGGGGTGGGTGGCAGGGCGTGTGCACTGGGTTTGGTCTGTGATTCCGATTCGCTTTGCCTGTTTGCTTTGTGATTGCCTGATGGTACCTACCAGTCCAACCTTTGATTTTGATTGCACTGTTGGAGGAGGATGAATACATCGCTGGGTTTGGTTTGCCAACTGAAAAGACTTCGGGGAGTTGAACACGTCCATACTGACAGGATCGGCGGAAATGGAAGGAACCACCATCTTGAAACAGTGGGAGCTGGTCATCTGACGACGAACCCGACACCAGGCAGGGTTGCGAAGCACTGGCTCCCACGTGGGCAGCTGGCCGGGGGCCGCAGGTGCGCCTAACCGCTTGTAGGGACAAGCATTTGAGACCAGATAGATTCTTGGTCACAAGTGTTTGCTAGCTTCTTGGCTAGCTGTCTTTTCATGTGAAACACTGTGCAGAGATAGAAGATGGAGACGTTGAAAAGGGACGTGTCTTTTTGATTGGTTTTTGACCTCAGTCTACCTACCTCAGTCTGGAGACTTGCTCATGACGATATTTGCTAGCAGACTGCCATGTAGGTCGGAGGGAAGTTATACTGGTCAGTCCCACGGTGCCTTTTCTCCTCCGCACGTCCGAACCACAAACCGCCCGATGTGAAAAAGCGGGCGCGACAGGGGTCGAGGCCTCTCCTTCTCCCGCCGTGCCACCAGAGATGTTTCTTTTTGCCCCGAAGAGTGGGTCTGGGAGTGAAAGGGAGGCTAGTGGTGGTGGAAGAGCAGCAAGACGACTGGCTTAAATGGACTTTCAGATGGCACCTCAAACATCAACCTGGGCAAGCGTGGTTTCAAGGACCTTTTGATGTTTCAGATGCCACTGGCTGAGCCAATGTGGGCGTGCAGACATGTTCGCAGACTACTCTGAAGGATTTTTCACTATCACCATCTATCACCACCATTGCCCTTACTGAACAACCATTGCTTTACGGATTTCACACGATATACTATAACGGTCAAAAGCGAACTCTTTTCATGGTCCAATGGACGGCTAGGTAGCCTACTTTCTGTGTCACTCCGTATGGCCCTCGTGCCACATCCAACGTGCCTCGTGCTGATTCGCCCAGGCCCTCCACCCTTCCCAAGCTCAACTCTCCGGCAGATGCTGCGAATGCAGGTGCGGACTCGAACTCCAGTTGTTGTCGAACTCGGCGCCCCCGTGGCCGCGACGGCCACGTCTCGGTGTGGAAGTTTGGACCTCAGGCCATGGTCAGAGGCTGACCTCCTTCTCAACCACGCCCTAATGTATATATATGTAGGCCAATTCTGCCAGAGTGTTCGGGTCGAATCCCTTGGTCCGACCGTCGTTCCCGCGGTCCGACCGTCGTTCCCGCGGTCCGGTGTTCGGTTCGCTGGGGCCACAATTCACGTCAGGGACGGCCCGAGCGACGCGGGAAGTTGCGAGGCAAATGGAAAAGCCGTTTTTTTTGGTTGAAAAATGGACCTCCTTCCAGGTTTTCAGCCAGGTTTTCAGAAGATGGTGTGTGATGTGCTGAGGGGGAGGGATCCCGTCGATGTTGTCGGTGTTGCTGCTCCTCACACCACGCTTCAGAACAAGCAAGCCCGCGTTTGAGGATTTTGAGGGCCGTGAAGAACCTCGAGGGCGGCCGAGCTGTGCCGTGGTGCGTCACCGCGCGTTGCCGCCGTGCGGTCGAAGCTCGGCGTCACCGCGCCAGGGTTTGACGCCCAAGCCGGAGTTGCACCTGGTCTTCCCCATGACGAACCTGCAGCCCTGGGTGAGGCGGCCTACGTGTTTCACTGTGGCCTTCGTGTTTGGATCCCTCTTGAAGCGGTTGGTCATTTTTCTAGAGGCCGGTAGCCAAGGAGCCACGGGGGGCTATCCAGATTCCTCCATGTTGGCTTGACGGGAGCCATTTCACGACGGGAGCGACGAAGGGAGCCCCCCGACCCAAACTGCTAGTTCTATATCTTAAAAAAAGGCAACGAGTGGGGCCGAAACACGCCCTGCTTTTCGGACGACAAACCACCCAATTTGTGTACCAGGAAAAAAGGGTGACCCGACGTGGTCTCATAAACAGTTGGGATGTGCGCAATGGCGGTTGTGCACAGCTTCTGTTGGGTTCCGTGCCACCAAAGCCTAGGGCCTAGGACTTAAGACCGTGGGAAGAACAGATTGGTGGAGACACAGAGACACACACTTGCTTGAGAAAGAGCTCGCATTCCCTTGTAGAGGCATTGGCAGAAAGAACTCGGCACAGGCAGCCTTCCTAAATTTGTATTTTTGTATTTCACAGACATGTGACATGACAAGGATGTTCCACTGTTTGCAGGAGCTTCTGAAGGGTCAGTGGTTTCAGAGTAGATGGCACAACCCCAAGTTAGGTATTTTTAAACAAGACCCTCATCCTAAATAGGACATCCTGTTGAATTCTGCGCCACTGAAGTGTTGAGAGGACAAACACATCAGATGTCAATCAGATGGCACGATCCGATCAGGAGCAATCCGACGGCCTATCTTGAGCACATCCTGTTGTATGCTCCGAGCTCAGATGACTCTTTTTTGACTAATGAACAGTTATTGGTTCTCATTTGCCCGGAATTCGTTGGAGAAGATTTAATCTTATATAACTTATATCTTTGTATACATTATATATATACCCTAGGATTCAAACAACCATTGATTTAATGGTCTTTACCAAAGAACCATTGTTTTACTAAGGATTTTTACATTACACCACCAGCTCAACCGTTCTTTTAACGGTCTTTGAAAACTAGGGTATATATATTATATAGTTCTTTTCGTTCTTCCATGGACTGCTCGTGTCAGATGCGAGCACAAGCACAAGGGGGGAAGCACACTCATTGCTTCTGTTGGCTGCTATTGGCTCAGGCCCAACCTGCTTGCGGTTTATAACCTGCCCAATGCCGCATCTGCGCTGAGGCTGGTGGCGGCTCCCTGCTTTTGGCTTGGAGAGATCAGTCCGGACACCGAGTGAAGACCAAGCCGCCATTGCTTGTGCGCGCGGCTTATCTGCGCGTGGCCACGTGGGGATGTCACTGGTGACCCACATTTTGAGGAGAAGCCGGGGGAGCACCTGGTCTGTATTTTTGGGTCGTTGCCCCACCCAGAAGCCCAGATCAAGCTGTCTTGGCTCCAGAGAGAGATGGATCCAGGAAAAACGGAAACACATCTGTGGCTGGGGGGAACACGCCCAACTAGACTTGACAGTATACCGGAAGTTGTTCGGAAGATCACGTGTTCAATAGCCTGGGCAAGTGCAAACTGGACATGGGGAAGGTTTGATCGCGACAGCTTTTTTGCTTCTGGCCGCGATGCTACAGGCTTGGGGTTGCTTCAAGCCTGGCGGTGAGTCAAGAGGACGTTTTCAGAGAAAAAGAGGAAGTGTGCTACCCCATGCTTTTTTTGGTGGGTCTCTTTCGGTTTTGCTTGATCGTTTGGATTGATTCGTTTTTCTCTTTGTGTCATGCGTTTTTGGGTGGCAGTCGATTTGTTTACCATTTGTTCTCTTGTTGCCATGGATGGTTTTTTGTGACCCTTTATGGAAAAGGCATGGACGCAGCTTTTGAATCCGGAGCCTTTTCTCGCTTTGCTAGATGGGCCACCCAGCGCGTTTTCGTCACGGTGTTGGGTGCTATTGCATGAGTCGGCGCACGTGCATCCCGGTGTCCCATGCCACGTGCATCCCAGTCACACCAACCCTCGAGGCACTCAAGACATCCCAACCACTCAGAGCTCTCTTCCTGTCAGCAGCGCCACAACCTCGGACCGGCCGCGACAGGATAGCAGCGCGGGGTCCAAGATCATCGTCTCCATGGCGCTTCTTCCGGAGGCGCGTGCCGAAAAAGGCCGCGGCAAGCCGGAGGCGGAGTCCCGGCAGAGTCCGGCAGAGTCGGCTCGTGGACCGGCGGATCCGGCGGCTGCCTCGCAGCGGCGACGCAGGGTGTGGAGCGCCTCCCGGAGCTCTTCGAGGCCTTCTTTGCCTTCGTGGGCCGCGCACGGGCGCGCACGGGCACCCAATTCCTCGGGCACTGCAGGGGGGGGAACGATGAGAGCCGGATGAGATGTGATGGGAGCGGTGCAGGGTACAGGTCGCAACCGAAAAGGGCAACGAGCCGGATGAAAAAGGGACAGCAAAACGGAAGACCCTGGGTTTTGATGCTGGGACCCTGGGTCATTGGGAAGCTATGCATTGATTCCGAAGCTGTGCATTCCGACTCATTGCGCGTATTGTTTCGACCTCATCCAGAGACTTTTGTCAGCTTGAGTGCTGATGATTCCAGCATTCTTGCAGACTAGACTGACTAGACAATGCACTGCGAGTGTATGTATCATAGGGTGTAGTCCCTGTGATAGTCAAGGGAGACGAGATACATACAGCTTTGACAGCCTTCATGTAACACCTAGAGGAGAGTGTATGGCCAATGTAGCATGCAGTAGAGCTCGGGCTCCTCTTTTACATGAATTATCAGACATGCACAACAGAAGAAACCATTTCTTGTACACTCTGACTCACTAATATGGAAGTGGAAAAGGGATGAAAAGGGTCCCTTGGAAAACTACTTTACGAACAGTTTTTTCCACTTCCATTTTAGTCAGTCGGAGAGTACCATGTATCCACTCATTTTTGTGGAGGTACTTGATCATCATCATACCGTTCTCGACAGGGGACTTCACAAATACCGTTCTCGACAGGTCGGAACTTCTGAGAAGGGCTTCAGGCCGAAAGTGGACAGGCTTGAGGCTGTCATTCATACCCAAAGCAGGCTATATCAGCACTTTTTCAAACAGGGGGGGACACCTCCCCATAAGAGCTCGAATACCATCATCGCTCAGCCCGAAACCTGGATGAAGGCTGTGGCGTACTCCACCCTGACCGGAGATCGTCGCTTTTGTATTTAGATGTATTCTAGAGTGTTAGAAAGATGCCCTATATAGTGCTGGGGGCCTGGCGCTCCAATTCATGGAGGCCATGACTGGAACTATATAACTATATATATATATATTATCAGTTACTCACAAGGGTGCTTGATGGACAGCCCTTACCCAAACAGGGGACCCTGGAAGAGAGAACCCCTGGGTCGTCCCAGATTCCATAGGCCTTCCACCCGAGTTCTCGGCGGTGCCGAGGCACGCGAGAGCAGAAGCTGGCGGTGCTCGGCTCATTGCAAGAGTTGGGAGTGCTCAGACGTGCTCGGCATCCATTTTTTTGAGTTCTCGGTGGGACCTGGTGGAAGAGGAGCAGTACATTTTTGCAGTTTTTGTGTTGAGAGGTGAGCAGCAGATGCATTTGATGCATTTCCGCCCCTTTCTAGGGAAGACTTAGAGCTAGACCTACAGCACTTTTTTCGTTTCCAGCTAAGTGGGGCAATGCTAACGATCTGGGATGGTACTGATGGGGACATTTGAGTGGACAAGGGGTGTGAGTGGAAGGGTTTTCCAGGTCTTCTCACCTTACTTTACTTCCAAACACTGGGAGGCGGCCACTTTGCACTCAGCTACCTGAACAGCAACGTTCACACGTTCTGGCCATTTGGTCGCCAGCGGCACCTGCAACCCAGGCATTTGAATGTTTTGAGCACTTTGTCAGAAGGATGCTTCCTTTGGACTGGCTGCTTCGCCTCACTACTGGATCCTTTTGATTCCTGAGACGAAAAAGGGGTGTCCCCATGTAGGGTGGACGGCTGCTGAAACAGGGCTTCTTCTTGCCCATCCATCACCTCTGCAAGCGCGGGCGGTTTTCGAAGTCAGATCCTTCCGATTCCTTCCGAACGGTTTCCTTCCAACGTCAGGGTGAATTCTGGACTCTCTTCGAGCGCCCAAAAGGGGCGGTCCTTGGATGCTGTGGGATCGATCGTGCCGAAAGGCGCGAAAGGCGCCTCGGTCCAGGTCCGCTCAGTTGGGCTATGACTGGGCTGCTTTGCAGGCCGCCCTGGTCGGCGCTCGGGCGAGCCTCCGAGCCTCCGCGGTCGTTGGAGAGCCACCGGGTGACCAGTGCCCGTGGGGGCTTGCCGATGTCTTGTGGGAGAACAGCTGATTTCCTTTGAGGGTACTGCGGGGGCAGGGTTTTAGGCTCAGTATGCTTGGAAGCGAAGGAGCTTCCTTCTCCAACGGATGTCATGTTCGAACACTTGGGTCACCTCTTCCGGCAGTGTCTTTGGCCGTCTCTGTCTCGTCCGTTGTCTTCGACCATCGGCCTTTGGGCTTGAACACAGCTGACACCTTTTCAGCCTCGACGTGACCTTAGGTCGTTGCTGGAAGAAGTTCTTCCGGTGGGCTAAGCTGTTTACTGCGCACCCTTTCGTTCACTTTCGCCCGAGCGAGCCACCATGCCCCATGAAGCCCCAGGAGGCGTCCAGGGCCGCCTCGCAGATGGCCAACGACATGACGAAGCTGGCCGCGCCAGGGCGCTAGCTTTGGACGAGCGTTGGACACGTGAACCAGGGGTCCGTGGATGGGGATGGGGATGAGAATGAAGGCCCTGAAACGGCTGAAGCAGCCTAGTTCGGTCGATTTCTTTCCTCAAAAACATCGCAGAAACGGGAGAGGCAGCCAACTTCACTCTCAAAGAGAACCACTCGCCAGATCCTCCCCAAAGCCGCTGCTTCGAGTGAACCACGGTCAACCCAGTGAACCCTTCCACCCGCTTCTTCGCATCAATCGAAGCCACTTCGAGACCTGCTTCCTGGAGCAGCGGGGGGGTGAGGTCCGAAAACGACTCAACGACCAGATCCTGAGAAAACAGCCTCCTCATCACACACGGCGTGTAGGTCAAACACCAGATTGTTTGAAGCCCATGCAAGTCGAGGAAGCCAATTCTTCTTCTCCCGGATCCTGCCGAACGAGGTCTGATTTGCTCGTCGCTGAGAACCTTATTTTGGATCCGGACGTGGACAAGATCGACCGGCTGCTGGAGAGGTGAGACATGGTGAGACGGTGAGACTCAGCGCACAAGGAGGGACGAGATGGGACGTCCTTTCTAAGGACGTCCTTGGGGTCAAATCGATGGGGAATTCCATGGGTTTAGGTTTGAAGTCTTTGGGCGAAATGGGGCAAGGAACGCTATATACATTATATTAAATACAAATTTTCTGCCTACTACCCTTTTCCTTTCTGAAAAACGATGCAATACTTGTAGATCTTTGTGAGTTTCTGCATCCGAATAGGTCCTTTTCAACCAGAAAAAACATTGCTCTTCTTAATGTGACTTCGCTGGCCCTGCCTTGACCCATAAACCAAACCCTATGTGCTTGACTTGCCATGACTTGCCCGGTCTCACCCTTTTTGGCACTTTCGCACCACCCGGTCTCACCCGGTCTCGGACCTCGGCGGCTTTCCCTTCAGGCTGCGGCCCGAGGGGATGCTGGCCATCTTGGTGGATGCGGCGAACTCGAGCTTCTGGCGACGTCGGGGGGTCCAGAGCAGCGCTGGAGAGGCGTGGGGCTGCGCTTTGGAACAGGTTGGGGCACCAAGTCTTGACTAGATGTATGGGGAGATTGAAGGGGGGCGGCTCCCAAGTGATTTGGAGATTGAAAGGATTCATATACGCAATACACACACCCACCCCCACACCCACACCCACACTGAACATGTACACTCTTTGGGCATATTGGACTGAATGTCGGACATGTTTGGAAAAGCAACACTCCTATCTATCGAAGACAAACTCCTTTGGCAGGCCTTTCCCGGCAATGCGTTTCGGGTTGGGGGAGGAGTTTGGGAGGTACAATGAGTGTAGCTGCTTCCTCCTTCAGCATTTGGTCCTTGAAAGCCACCGTGAGTGATCCTGCGGTCTTTGGACCATGGCAAGTGTGGCGGATGGCTGGTGGAGTGGCATCCCAGTGGCCCTACCCACCCTTCAGCCCGGCTCACTCCATGTGCCTGACGATCTACCTCGTCCACCCCCTGGTCATTCAAAGGTGCCAATACCAATGCCTGGCCAACCTTGGCATGATGATGAGGATGAATCCGACGACGGCGAGCCATACGAGCCCTTACCAACAGCAGGGAGCATCAAGCGCCGCTACAGGGAGCACATCGGATTAATTCAATTCTGGTGAAAGCTTGAGTGGTTACGACAACGACATAGCCAATGCTAGTATGAAATGTATGATAATGCATGAATCTTGGTTCACCAAACATTTGGGTGAACGCACAACTTGTATACCCCTTAGTTCCCAGCTGTTTTCAAAAGAAGCTTCTTTGCACCGATCGAAGGCAAATGGAGCGAGAAGAAGTACGGAGCTTCCTTTCGAGGCATGGCTTTGCAGACGTGAACACGTTGCGGAGAAGACGCTCTGGATATCTCCACTTTTCCTGTCTATTTGGGGAGGAGGAGGAGTTCTATCCGATTCACGTGGCGGTGAAAACAGGGAACGTGAAGATGATCAGATTGCTCCTGCAAGTGGGCGCCAAGAAAGAGCAGGAGACCTCGAGGGGGCGGACGGCTTGGGAAATCGCTCAGGATTGCATCCGATGCAAGCACAACGCTGCGCAGATGGAGGGGATCCTTCAGATCTTGGAAGGAAAGATGAAGAAGCTTGGCTTGTCTCACGTTCAGTTCCTGGAAAGGGCAGTAACAGCCAGGCAGGTATTTGGAACCGCCGTGTTCAGGTTTCGAGGGTCGGGTTTTCATATTGTGTAAACCATCCACTTATCCAACAAAACCAACAAGAATTGTAAACCATCCACTCATCATCACATGCTTTTCTTTCTCTTCGACGGATTGCGCAGACCAGGACGACCTGGTCAGCCTCAGATCTACTCCGGGCGACCCACACCGTGAACCCCGCGAACGGCTAAACATTGGCGCTCGGCTCGCGCCCCGAAACGGCGGCCGCAGTCGGAGAGCGCCGATGTCGCTTCCGACGGCCGATGGAGTCGATTGATGTCTCTTTATGTCTCTTTTCTATTTATGTCTCTTTTCCCAGCGAGGTGTTCACTTTTTCATTGATGTTGCACAACTTGCCTTGGGTTATATTGTTGGGTCGGTGGGCGAGGCAAGGTGAGTGATTGCAATGTGGATGATGGCAAGGTAGGTCGATCAATTGGTGAGTGAGTCACCTTGTTGGAAGATGGAACAGTGAATCTCCAGTCTTTACCAGTTGCAATGGCTCAGTTCAGGAGTCTTTTTGCTGGAGTTGTTAGGAAAGTGTCTGGACAGATTCCACGCCACATGGCTGACTCTGTAGAAGCAAGTTACATGGTTCGCTGTCTGTCACCAACCTTTGTTTTGGATTTTTAGACTCTGCCAAAAGGCAGAGAGCCGGAGTCAAGCTACAAGCTTCTCCAGCCTCTCGTCCTTCCCCGCACCGGCACCGTGCTACTCCTCCGTTCCGGGAAAGATCACCGGACAGCATTTCCCGCCGCTTCGCCGGACACCGAAGACCTCGGTTCCAACGCGGCGGCGCCCCGCCGGACGCTCCGCTGCGCCTCGCGCAGCGGCGAAAAACCCGCGGCGACACGGTGCGGTTCGCGGCGAAACGGTGGGGGTCCAGTGGTGGGTGGGTGTCCGAGTTGGCAGGGCGTTGTTCCCATGTTTTCCCCCTTAAAGGATCTGAAAGGGTGGTTATGCCATGTACAACCATCCTGGAGTAGATTGCATATGATCAATATGATCGAAAAGCACTATGTGGATGGTGGATTTTCCATCTTCTACTCCAGGATGACTCGTTCTTCATCAGATCCTCCTGCGGAGTTCCGGTTGTCTCGCCTCGGGCGCGGCACCTTTGAGGTTCACCGGAGGACGCAAGGCAGGGACGGGAGACGCTGGTGGCCAGCTTCCTGATCTTGAGACTCTCCGACTCATGGAGACATGGAGATGTTTGTAAATGGTTTTTCTCTACTTGTCGGAGTTGCTTTCCACTTCTGTGATGTGTTTGTCGGAGCTTGTCGGAGTGTAGATCAGGTTAGATGTTGTTCACCATGGCTTTAGCTTGGCCCCCTAGCTTTTCCGCTAAAGGCCGAAGGAGGCTGGCCATGTCAGACGCAACATGTGTGGGTCACAATGCTTCAAATCCTAGTGCAGCGTTTCGCTGTAGTTGCCGCTTGGGCCGAGTTCTGTTTTGGTCCTTGGGAGCCCAAGGGTTAGTTGACTTGGGTGTGGGTCAAAGATTGGCACAGTTCATTGGCAGCAAAGCAATATGTTCATATTGACATAGCCAGTTGAAGCGTGAATGGGGTGTGAGGAGCTGAACTGACAGCACGGCCTGAATCCTGAACTGACCCACGCGGCCCGAAGCGGCGCCTGTCTTTCTAGATGTCGGATCGATGTCGGATCGAAGAAGGTGGTGAAGAGCATCGCGTCCCCTCTCTCTCTCTCTTTCTTCCTCTCTCTGTTTGTACATCTCTGATGTCCTGCAGATGGCCTGGGAGTGGAATCTCGAAATTCACACCTGTACCTCAAGGGCCCCATGACATGGGACTGCTGCCTTCTGTTAGCACGGGCATGTCATCTTCCGCCACCCGCAACCTCTGTGGCTCACCCGCAGCGCGGGACTTCCTCGTTCCTCGGGGCCTCGGCGAGGTGCCGAGGTGACGAACAGGGCAGTGGAGGAGCAGTTCTGTGCAGGTTGACGAACTGGGAGGATAGAGTGGCCAGATCATCCACTCAAGTACAGTCTAAACAACCACCAACGGCCCGGAAATTGCTCCAGCTCCCAACAGCGGAAGGGCGAGAGTTTGCGCGCCTGGCCGGCGTACCATGAGTGTGAAACGGGTGGTTCGAAGCGTGCTGTTGGGTGCTCTGAGCGAATTGAAGAGCCAGCTTGGCAAATATGCTTAAACCGGCCCAGAAGTGTCAGTAGGTATACCCTAGAAGTCCAAAGACTATATTTTGACCGACTGAAGTAAAGGAAATTCCTTTTCGGGTCACCTAGTCAGACCATTCTTTTTATGGTCTGACCGACTCCCAGGGTATATGATCGAGGCTGAGAGGTCGCATTCACACCGAATGCACGCTTTCTCACACCGAACGCACGCACTTCTCCCAGAAGTGCGACTCGAGCTTCGGCGCATTTGGCCCACTGACCTGCTTGCAGGTGGCGGGAGAAGTGGCTCTGCTCCCGTTCGCCTGGTCACGATGGCCCCGGTCTCCAAGGAGGTCAAGGAGGGCTCTTTTTCCCGTTCCCTGCGGAGTAAGGCTCTGGACTTCTCCTGGGGTGGGTGAGCCCATTGGGACCTGAATCAACGGAACTTGGTGACCGCTTCGGTTTTGGGAAGGCAGTTCAGAATGTCTACAGTTCATTCGGCTTTTTGGCAAGACACAACTCGCTTGCTTGCACCTCTGCAGTCACCTCCGAACTCAAGCGGGTTACCTTCGAGAAACCTCAAACATATGTCCAAAAGGCCCTTATTAAGGAAGTGAAGAAGCACGTGACGAGGCCAGAGATCGAACCAAATGGCGCCCCCCTTCGTTGGACCTTCGCCCGAAAAACCAGGCTCTTGGGGTGGGTCCCCGGGCACTGCGCGTCGTGGGGCCCTTTCATCCCTGAGGACGTCAGGCTCCTGGCGCGACTCATCGAACTTGTCGGTTTGATCGAGGCCAAGGACGGCAGTCTGCCGGTCCCACGGTGCCACGGTGAACGTGTGGAAGCGAAGCTGCAAACGTATACGACGGTGACGTGGCCAGGTGGGGGAACGTACTTCTGCCATAAGCACCAGAATGCTTCCACATCTTAGGGGACTGGTATATAATTACCGTTTTTGATGATAAATTTGTATAAATTTGTTTGTTTTTCATGAGTGATTTGCAATGTGAGGTTTTTGCCATGTGAGTTTGTCGTCCAAAGTGACCGAACTTCATCGCCGTGTTTGAGGTCAAGAACAGTCCCGTGAGGTCAGTCACAAAAATGCATTCCGAAAAGAAAGAGAAGTCATTTTTGAAGAAGCTTTCTTCTTTTTCTTGTGTGTTTTTTTGAGGGCGGGATTTCCCACTCAGGTTGGTTGGACATTGTGTATGTGCTTTTTCGCATTGTAATAAATTGTTATAATTTATATTAAATTCTCAAACAGATTAGCTCCAGCAGAAAGCCAGAAGGTTCGATTGTGCACTTACGCTTACCTTTTTTTCAGTATCTAGCAGCTTTAGTCACGAAAGCTAGCGAAGCTAGCTGGAGTTACTCTTGCGATAGCAAGGTTTCTTTCGACCGGGTGCAAATCCTAACCCCTGATTTTTCAGGTCGAAGACCCCCCCCCCTCCCCTCCCCTCCGCCCCTCTCCCCTCCTCTCCTCTCCCCTCTCCCCGCCCCACCTCCCCTCTCCTCCTCCTTGTCTTCCTCCCACCTTCCCTCCCTCCCTCCTCCCTCTTCGCAAGTTCGACTCCGTCCTGTCGTCGCTCTTTGGCATGCGGTTAGCGTTGCGTATCTTGCGGCCGCACTCGCTCACTCTCACTCTCACTGTCTCACTGTCTCACTGTCTCACTGTCTCACTGTCTCACTGTCTCTCTCTCTCTCATCTCTCTCATCTCTCTCATCTCTCTCATCTCTTTCTCATCTCTCTCATCTCTCTCTCCTCTCTCTCTCTCTCTCTCTCCTCTCTGTCTCTCGTCTTTCCGTCTCTCTTCTCTCTCTTCTCTCGCAGGAGGATCCGGGCAAAGAGCCACATATAAAGGACTCTTCACCCCTGCCTCCAAAAAGAGCGCCGTGTTTTTTCCTACCTCGCTGCCCTCCACTTTCCCATTCTGGAGCGCTAGCTTTCGCCCCCCCCCTTGGCCTCAAGTCAGATAGTCTTGAAAAGAAGTGAGAAGCAGGGAGGGTTGGCATTTTTCAACTGTTCTGAAAGCTTCCAGCTGATCTTGCACGCCGTTTCTCTGAGTTCGACTTGCTATACTCTGGTAGTAGAGCCACCCGCTGAGTCCTGTATGATATACAGAATATAGATCGAAGATATTCGAAGATATTGGCGGCCGCCGGACCCAGACTAAAGCTTCAAGGGATTTGGAGGCGTTGATTGGTGAGCACAAGATTTTTGGTCATTGCAGTGTTACTACCTTGACCCCAGGAGCACGTCGACCGGCAGCTCTTTCTCATCGTGGAGGCATGCCTCGGGTCAGACGAACAGTGCCTCGTGGCGGTCTTCGTCGGGAGCGTTTCCCCGGCCGAGCGGGCGGTTGACCGGTCGGACCGACCGACGAGATCAGGCCTCGTTGCGTCCGCGACAGGTGGTGAGTGCGGGTCGACCAAGCTCTTGGTCTTTGGCCCGAATGGCGCTCTGGTGTGAGTTCAGCTTTTACCACTTGGTCAGGGAGAAGGCCGCGGAGCGCAGAAGGGCCCGCCCTGTTGGTTTTATGATTTTTCGTGCAATGATTCTCTGAAAAAGGACCCTAGGGGCTTAGGATGGACCACAGCGGCCGCCACAGGAGTAGTACTTTGACCCCTGCCTTCTTGGGGCCGTTGGGTGGAACAAGGGAGTGGTCAAATTAGGGCTTCCTCCTGAAAGAAGTCATGGAAGGAAGAGAAGGTGCCCTAAAGATCAGCCCCTCACCTTAAGGCATGACCATTCTTCGTGGTAGCTTTTGTCCTCGGATGTCATGTCACTTGTCCTGGATCTAGCCATGCTCTTGTTCTGGGAGACCCTGCGAGCGGATCATACTCGGAGCTGTGGCATCGTTCCATTGACCTCGCGGGTGAGGTAAACTCTAGAGAAGATGTGGGGTGTGAAAGCGCCACTTGTGTTTTGTGACTCAATCACTTGATGTTTGTTTCGAGCGCGACAGGCCCAATCCACCTGTTGCCGGATCCTGAGGATCCTGATGTGCCGGGCAGGACCACTTGGAGCTCAAGATTGCGTACTGCGTCGCAATCATCGGAGTGCTTCGCGAATGTCCCGCAGAGGCGGGAGAACGATCAAGCTTTAGCCACTGCGGCCACAAAACGTGCGTAAAGCGGGCGGCGCGAACTTCACAAGGGTGGTCCATCGCTGTGGGGACCTACTTGTAGGAGGGAAAAGGCAGGTTGCTGTTTGACCAAAAAGCTTGATTCCTTGTCACTCCCAGCTTTCACCAGCCTCACCAGATTTGGAAGCCGATGGAAGGTTTCCAGGTTCAACATGGTTCAATCAATCCTTTTTAAAGCAGACTTCATTGATTCATTGATCTCAGGGCCTCTCCAGCTTTGTGGCTGTCCCCGCATCGGGGGGGCTTTTTGTCGGTGAAGCTTCGCCATCAACTGTTTGTGGTGGATGCGAGCCATATCAAAAAACTGCGCTCTAGGGGACCTCGCCCTAGGATTCCAACCGCCATTGATTTCATACGTAGTTTAATGTTTCTCACCTATGGGCTTTGGAATCCTTCCTCTTTGGGTCTGTATGGTCATCCACGCGTTTTCCTCCGCGTGGCCGAACGAAGGAGGAGCTTCTGGACCGTCACTCGCCCGAGGACAGCGGGAGGGAAGCGACTGGCAGGTTTCCCTGCTCCCTGTCAAAGAACCGGGACTGGTCAATAGAAAAAATAGATGAACATACACTGCACACTTATGGTTGTTTTCTCCCTGAAAGCATGATGGAAGTGGATGGCATAGCCCTGAAAGGATGGCCATGGAATCTGAATAGCAAAGAGGTAGTTTTCACTCCAGTTCCATGACTATACATTTTCAGGGAATGTAACATCTATATACTGTAGATGAACATCTGTTCATGCAGTAGACCCCGCCAAGTGGACTCATCTCAAAAGGCCAAGCATGGCAAAGCGTCATGTGGAAAGGTGGGAAGCTTGAAGGGTCGTTGGGATCCTTGGATCATGTGGGATTCACGGGCCAGATATCAGTTAACCAGGCCAACCAGGCATGTCATGCATTTCAGCTCAACCAGGCAGATATCAGTTGCAGTGTGCGCAACTGCGCGTCCATGCTGCGCGTGCTGTGCATGCTATGCCGACTGCGCGTACCACAGCGTTTCGTCGCGTCAGCGCAGGTGGATACGGCGCTTGGCCCTGAAGGGGCAGAAGCGGGGCACACCGCCGAAGGGGCTGCGAAGCTTTCCTGCGCAGCTGAGCACAAGGACGGCCTGAGCTGAGTGGAAACAACTCAAGGAGTTCCACTAACCGTTAACCACGTTGTGAATTCTGACTTGATCATTCCGTTTGACTTGAGTGGAGATGGCGTTTACATGCGTTTGCCTTGTAATTACATATAACCAAAGTTGGTGCTGAAGGTTTCCTCATTTCCAGGTGGGCTCCGCTCCAGCACCGTGTCAAAAGCTGGGCGTCTCCTCTTTTGATTGGTGTGGCGTCTGCTTCTCCTCTTTCGCAACTGGAGACAAACCCTCAGAAGAGAAAGGTCTCGTTGTTTCGAAAGGTCTCGTCGCAGAGATCGGATCCGTGGATACTCCGGGGACTGGGATACTCCAAGGAGACGCCCCACACGTCGGACATGACTGGGGCGTGAAAGGGCATGCTTCCAACAGCCATTTTTGGGGGCTCAAGAAGGAAGCAAGGGGATGATGTCTGAAAGTGTCTGGAGGTGAACGGGGATGACGGATGACCTCTGTAGCCATGGAATTGGATGCTTGAATTTGTGGAAGTGGAAGCCCCTGATCGTGCTCACCCTGGGTGACCCTCCAGCTGATGATCCTGATGCATGTGTCGTCGTATATTCCACCCAACCAACCAATATGATATGATACATCATGATAAATTTCGTCCTGAACCAATTTCGGTGGCCTGCCCTTCAGGTGGTTTTGCCGCCCAGAAAGCCGCAACATGCAGAAACCTTACATTCACATTGGACTCTTCATCGCTCTTTGCCTTTTTTGGCTTGAAACCACCGATGGGGGCGGACGATCATGCTTTGCAGGACGAGAGCCTCGATAGTGAGGACGAAGAATCTGAGGCCAGCGGGTCTGTCAGTGAATGGCGATGCTGTTAGTCTGAAATGGTTCTGTCAGGCCGGAGCTTTAGATCGAAAAACATGTACATGTAGAAAGACAAATCAGATCATAAGCAGAGCTGTCTCTCCAGGATGGATCATGGTAGTGCCGTGTAACAGCCTGGCCAGGATGTCCTGGTTTGATTCTTGAGAAACGGGATTCGATACTTACTTTTTTGTATTTGAAACTGTCTTTGATCTTGATGTTCTTTTGGAATCTTTTGGATGTGGATGTTCCTTGAACCTTCCTTTCCCTTCTCACATCGCTTCGAACCATCCAGCCTTCGGCAGGGCGGCTTGCACCCTGGCGTCCCGGCTCCCCTGCCGCCCTTGCAGACGCGGTCTCCGCCACAGGCGCGGTTTCTTGGCGGGGGGGGAGCATGGGGACGAAGCAGGTCAGCCGGCTTTGGGGGGGTTTGGCTTGGGGGAGACCCCCGAGCCGCAAACTCTCGGGGTCGGAACGCCGTGTTTCGGTCAGCTCAAAGCGCTGCACATCCAGGCAGGACTATTTACAAAGAGGTCTGACTGTTTGATGAGGTGAGCCGAGTGAAAAAGGACACGAAAAGATACGAATAGCAATTTCTGGAAGATTACGTGACCAAGAGAGTCGAACTGGATTTCGTTCGGGGGATGTTTGCCATGAACGAGAGGGATTGGATGGCATCCGATTTTCGAGCTAATATCCCCTTTTATTGGGGTGCATGTGAAGAAATTGGGGAAGACATTGGTTCGGCAAACTCTGGACTCCTTTGAACCACCGGACCGGATTAGATTGCAACTCTCGACAGTTGTTCTGTGCTCTTTGTCGTCGAACCATGTCGAAGCGAAGTAGGGTGACAAGCGAAGTGGGCCGACCTCAAGCAGAAGTGGAAGGACCCTATAGACTATCCCATAGGCACCCCAGCAGGGTCGTACAAGGTCACTTACCCTCTCTTGGGACCGTTGGTCTATCAGAACCTGACCCTCCAAAACTGAACGTCGGTTCACATCTCGATTCACATCTCTCCAACGGACGGTTCTCTTGCCACAGCGCTGGGGGCCTCCTGGCCCGCCCAAATCAAATGGTCCGGCGCGGCGCAGGAAGCCCAGGAGGAGAATGGCGCTGTCGCGCTGGTTTGAGTAGGGAGGCCAGCAAATGTTAGTTGTCCTCAAGGTGTTGTACATACTCTGGCTTGGAGATGGATCTCTGGCTTGGAGATGTGGATTCTCTCAGCAGACGTGGATCCCTGCCTAGTGCCTAGTTTTGCAAGATCCACTCAACAGACGTGGATCCCTGCCTAGTTGAGTGCGCAAGCATGCGAAAGCCCCTGCTCGGAGAGTGCGAAAGCGCTCACTGGAGTGGGAGAGTGCGCGGCGCTCACAAGACCCTAGACTATCTTCGACTAATGACTCCAGTGCTTGCAAAGGCCAGCAATATCTTTAAAGCCTTTAGGGTGCAAAAAGAGACGACCGCTTGCGGAGCTCCAAAAAGGCTTTTACAGCCGATCCCGATCACCCAATGGATCTGTCTCGATGGACCGCATCGTCAGCGACCCTTGCTTGATCTTCTGTCGGGGGGGCTCGAGTGAGCGGGCGAGGAGATCAACTTCGGAGAACTTCGAACATGGGTGCTTGCCCCTACAGCTTACCAAGCCTAGTAACATCGGTGAGCAGCTAGCACATGCTAGCAAAGAGCATATGCAACTGGATGATTTCAACCTATCTGCGTCCAGTTCTGTATCACCTTGGAGCCAGATTCTGTCTCCCTGTGGCTTTGCGGCTCGACCGCAGTGCTGAGACCGACGGGAGCGTCGAGACTGGCGAGGTGTTCGGGGTCGAGGGTGGTGGTCGGAATGAATGGATTGACGACAGGAGAAGCTGGTTGTAGAGGCATCCTAGAGTAGATAGAATATGGGAAGGCTCCCCAAACAATAGACCACATTCTCTTATATAGGTTTTTGGATTTTCTTCATATCTACTCCCGGATGGTGGTGAGATCGTTGGTGAGCGACCTACTGCTTTTTTGATGCTTTTTCTTTCGGATTTCTCAGGCGGTGAGACTGCCCGTGGATTTTCCATGGCAAGCCTAAGCAACTCTGCAGTCTTGCACCATTGTATACTGGCCAGAATCCCTGACAGTGCGTTTGAGGTTTGTGAGGTTTGTTTGTTTGCGCAGGTTTTCAAGCTTGCTTTCGGAAGATCCAGATCATCCAGATCCCTTCCAAGAGCTTTGGCCTTTGTGTCCTTGAATCTTTGGGAAACAAGCATCGCAAAACGTTACAAGGTTTGTCGTCTCCACCCTCGCAAAGGATTTCGTCGCCTGCACATTGTTTGTGATTCACATTGAAGCTACAATGCTACCGGAAAAGAAGTGAGATGAACGCACCTGGCCTACATACCCGTTTGTATGTCGTTGAAGAGAGCGTCAGCAGCATGCTCTTCATGCTGCCAGGTCTCCACGTCTCCCGGCGGCGAGCGGACCGCGGACTGGACGATGCCGGCCCAGGAGGCACGAGCTGAGCACGACACACCAAACAAAGACTTTGGGAGGGTCATGGTATGGTCATGTGGACTCTGTGATTTCATCAATCCTGGGACATAAGTTGACTGAATGAGTCAAGAACATGGAATCCTGCATCTTCTGGGTGTATCACGGACCGGTGGGGGTGTTGGCGCGGTTGGGGTCCTGAACCCAAGGGGATGTAGTGTGATCCAATCCAGCTTTGATGTATACAAGTGGATTGGGGCACGCCTCATCAGCCTCATCCCAAGGATGGCTATCCATTCACGAAATTTGTATTACAATATAGTGGCTTGTTGGCTGCTGAACATGAAATTGATCTCGCACTGGTCCCTGCTCCCTTTGCCGGCTTGGTCAGGGCACGCCCCAAAAAGATGGATCACAATTTGAGCTGGTATCCCGGCTGTCCAAAAAGGGTGATCTAGAGATGCTCAGGAGCCCCAACTGTCCGGTCTGCTGCCGGCCTCGTCCGTCATAGTGGGATCGAACGGTGGAGCTCGCAGCGCATTCTTTTCACGAAGCTTGGAATTTCTGTTCAGGACGCTTCTTGCAACACTAGTTATCTCGTGTTATTCTTTAGGACCGGATAGGCAATAGGTCCATTGTAGACGCCCCATCCTGAAAAGCAACGCAACGGATCCGCTTTGAGGATCGCAACCCGGCAGGAAGCGATCTCCTTCCACCGGGTCCTGGTTGTACCTGTGTCTGTATCGGAGGCTCACGCGTTAATGGGGAGACGCGGATTCTTGGCACCGTTTTGAGCATTTTGCGATCTGCAGTCTTTGGTGAAAATGGCTGCGAAAGCTCAGTGGACTTTGGTGAACAACACCTTTAAAGACCTTCCCCGATGGGAGTTGCGCGATTGCATGACGTCCAATCAGTCACTAGCCACCTCGGCCAGGATGGTGCAGCATCGGTCGTACTCATGCTGGTGCTTCAGTACGTTTGCGACCCTGTTTCGTCGGCATCTCAGGACCGTGGCCTGGACACCTGACGAGGTGATGCGAAGTAGATAGTAGGTCCAGCCTTCCTTCCTTCCTTCCTTCCCTCCCTGTTTTTGGAGTGATGTTGCGATCATCGGAGGACTCGGTCGATGAGAATGATCAAGAGGACTTGGTCAAGTTCGTCGGGCGGAAGCAGGGCTGAAAAAGCAGCTGTTGCACGAGGAGTCCTTACGTAGGAGCAGGTGTTGGAGAACCACAGTAACTTCACGAGTATAGACTTGACGAACAAAACCCTCCATTCCGAATGTAAAATTACGTGGGGGGGTTCGTAAGTCAAGCATTACTGTATTTATTTATGATATTTTGTGATGTTATTACAGCTCAGGTTTAAAAGAGCAGGTGTTGCAGGTGACAGGGTGACTGTTGAAAATAGCGGTCGGAGCTTGAACATATTGTTTCTTGGCTCCCCCAGAGTGATTCGAACCAGAATTCAGCTCCTCGGCGGATCTTTCTTTCATAAGGACCCATTTCAGACCAGATCACAGAGACCATCCATCCATGTCCATCCAAGTTCTATCCAAGTTCCAACTAGATCAACCTCAGAAAACCTGATTTTTCCCGAGTCTTCAGTCCTCGAAGTCCCGTTTCGGCGGGACCGGAGGATCGCAATACGGATCGCGTGCACATCAACAACGACGCAGACGTGGAGGCGCAGAAGTCTTCGGCAGATTTGACTCCTGGTTTTGACTCAACGCTGTGGTCGGGTCTCATGAGGTCCGATTTTCAGGGCACCTCCCTAAAAAAGTCGATACATGACTCATGGGTCTCAAGGTGTCTGAGCTCTCTTTTCGTCAAGGAACCAAAGCCTTTCCTTTCCAACAAAAGTGTCTCCGGAAGCCGCGTTTTGGTCGAGCCCCTGCTCCAGGAAGCCTATGATGCTTGCTGCGCTTGAACCCGCGTGCACGTGGAAAGCAGTCGGTCTCGTGGAACTTTGCTATTGCGCCCAAACCCGCCCCCAGTGCTGACTTTGATTACAAACCTGATCTCAGAGGACCAAACTCGATCTTTTGTGATTAAAACCAGAAGACCCAGACCTGGGGCGGGATGGGTTTTTTGGTGCAGGAGGGCAAGCGTGCTCAAAGGAGATTCCGCTCCGTACGGGTGACAAGACCCGCCTGCAGACCCACAGTGGCGTTTCGAAGCAAACAGGCACGGACTTCGGCGGATGTGCAAGGAAGAAAAAGTGATGAAACCGAAAAGTGGGAGAATGAGCGAGCTGCGTTGTTTCACGGAGAGGTCGACAGTGGCTTTGGTGCCGCGATGGCTTTTCTACAGCACGTGAACTCGATGTTTGGTGTCCTTTCGAAGCACCTTGCTTGCCGGAGAGTATGACCTCTCACCTGAAGGTTTTCAACAGGTACCAAGTGACAGGACCCGGACTTGGACGCCAGTCCTTTCTCCCAGCACTGATCTTCGCCTTGGTTGACTCACCATCAGTCCTTTGAGAAGGTCCAGGTGTTGTGGGGGCCAAGGCTGTCCTCCTTGCTGATCGGATTGTTGATGAGAGAGAGAGAGAGAGGAACTCACTGGTCTGTCCGAACGCAGCGGAGCTCGGTCCGTCCGAACGCAGCGGAGGCCCCTGCCGCATTACGACGTGAACTACACCGTGAGGTGGCGGAGCACAAGGGGCTCAATGAAACTGGAGGAACATGTGTTAACTGGGTGAGTGCAAAGGATCGCATTCCAAACAGAACCTTTTGGCCATGATTCCATGATCGCCCGGAAACTGACATGGGAAATGGGCCATAATGTCTTTCCATCCAATTGATTCGAATCCGTTGAAGAGGAAGACGTAGATCTCGGTTGGCTCGCCAGTGGTGGCCTTGATGCCGTTCCCGGTCCCCAATATCGTTCATTGTTTCGTTGGGCTCCCAAGAGGTTTCGTCCAAAAAACTGGTTAATGTAAGGACCTAAGATTTTGATACAAGGTCCATCCAAGTCAGCTTTGCTGTTCTGAAACGTTTTGGCCGCCCATCCACAATCGGACTGTGCGCCCCAAAACGCAATCAGCGCTTTCTGGGCCCTGAGCTGCATTGACAGCCACCCGAAGAGGATGGCAGCTTTTGGATGTTCCTTCTATTAAAATAAGGGGGTGCCAAGTATCGCCACAAATGCTGACTGGCGCGAAGCCGGTTCCAAGCGTGCATGGTCCAAGTCCAAAGTGCCGAAAAAGAAAGCTCACCGTCTTTGTCCGGGTGTTGGGCTAGACCCTTCGGCCATCGGTCTCCACCTGGGGATCCAAAGATGTCAATCATCGGGCCCATCCTTTTTTGGTTTTCCCAGGTGGGGTGAGAACTGAGCACGCCCGAAACGTTGATAAAAGGTGAGATAAATGATGATGAATGCACCAAATTGATAGTTTTGGACTCCACTCCCAGTGCAGACCACCGCCGCCAGGCCGTTGGAACTTGCTTGGCCCAACTTGGTGCGGACGCCGTGGCCTTAGCTCTGCGGAATTGGATGATGAGCCATGGCGATGAGCCACGTTTCTCAATGTTTCTGATTCATTCCGTTTGGTCCTTTGGACTTGTCTGCGATTTGAATGACAGCCTAGGGGTGCTGCTGCAGAGGCCGAGACGTTGCGGTGGAATGGAACTCGGGTTTTGGACGTGGGAGGAAAGTGAGTCAAAGTGAGGATCCTTTTGGGAGCAAGTCCAAGATGAAAGTAAGGAAAGAATTCGGAATATGAAGAGGTTTGGAGGCCGAAAACTGAGAAGCACGAAAATGGTCTTGAATGGTCTTCATTGAAGCACGAAAAACATGTTTTTGAAGACCACCCGATCGTCACTCCAAGTCCAGCTGGACAGAGCTGGTGATATTAATGATACACTCAAACATCACCAATAATTAATATTGCAGAACGCGGGAGAAGGTCTTTCCACCAGTTGAAGGCCATGCTATTTCCATTTCCTTTGTGGAACTTGTTCTTTCCTTGGTCGGTCAAAGGTTCGATGGACACCTTTCTGTCCGGTTGGAGGGCACTGAAAAATGAAACCACCGTCATTTGTTTCCTTCCTGCCCACCTGGATTGCTCACCAGACCTATGCGATTCCCTGCTATTCTTGCTACCACAGGCGCCGCGGGCAGCAAGGCTGCGGTTGGACCAGCACTTTGCGGAGGCCCAAAGTTGCGCAGCTTGCGATCCGTTGGAGCATCAACTGGGGTAGTGCCATTTGCAAATGGCATTTCCCTGATCGCACACACACGCGCTTTCCAGCAACAGTAGATGGCACAATTCAAAAAGCCGTGCCAGGCATTCTACGGCGGAGAAATGAACATCCATGAACATCGGAAGATTCGGAAGGAAATGCATTCGCACTTCTTTCCCACCAACAACTTGTACAACAAACCTCTGCACCGGCAAAGGCGTTCCACCTACCTGTTAAAAAAAGGGGTTTTGAAGGCAAAAGGTACAAATGTAGGTCGCGCATGTTTTCTTACAGTTTTCTACTCCGCGTGTGCTGGGGAAGCATGACTTCGTGCAAGTCTTTGTTGCATATCAAGAAAAAAACAACTAACAGTAGTTAGCACTATGAACATCCAAGTGTGGACATCTTGGTGAGGATGGATGTATAGTATAGATGGCGCAAGGCGCGGGTTTCAATCTTCTGAATCATTTGTGCCGTCCATTGGGGTTTAGGTTAATTGGTACTGTAGTTTCGGTAGCTTTACTGTACATGGTCGCTTGCCCAGAACCTCCCGCCGTTTTGTTGAATCATGATGGATCAGGTACTGTAGATACTGTATACAGACTGTATACACTACTGTATGTGGAACCACATGCAGTACAGTACAGTAGATTGAGGAACCTCCTTTTGCCACAGAACAACGAGTTGCAAGAACAGGTTCCATCTACATTCAAAACAAAAAGACAGTGGTCGTTGGCACAATCGAGTGGTTTGCCCAGCTCTACTTGTGCCACCAGGGTAGCTGGGAGCAGAGAATCCTCTTGCGCATCGAGTGTCAACAGCACGTGATGTTGGATGGGTTTTCCATGCCAAAGGGGATGCAAGATCTGCTTCCGCCGAGTTCAAGCGACCGCCTCAACAAAGATTCGGTGGTTTGTGGTGGTCAGTGGGTTTCTATAGGGGGTTATCTATAGAACCTATTAGAGCATTTATATTTGAAACCTATTAGAACCTATATGTGGGACTCGGAGTCGATGCTGCAAAAAGGTGCGGAACTTAGACCCTGCCCCTGCCGGGGTCCGCGACCGACCCGTGGCGACCGAGGTGTCGCAGCAGCTCAGCTTGGAGGTGCCGGGGGTCATTGCAGGCGTGGAACACCGGTCAACAGCTTATCGTGTGACGATCAAGATGGAAGAGAGGAAGAGACTCTCGAACAACACGAGGTGATCTGCGTGCAACAGATCTGATCTTTTTTACAGATCACGATCATGATCACATTGTATCTTTTGGCCGAATCGGTTTCATAGATCAACGTCAAGGGGTATCAGGAGGGAATACACAGTCTGACGCTGCAATACATGCGGAGGATACCTGGCAGGGGTCAGGGGCGGTTCCCTGTCAGAAGTTCTCGGGGTCCAAGAAGAACCCTGACTTCCTGTCATCTATCTGAAGTTCCCTTTCAAAGCTCTTGGGAATGTCCAAGACAGCATGAATGTCCAATGAATGTGTCGACAGCTGAAGTTCTCGTGCGTCACATTGGTCACCTTTGCACTGGTCGTCCTATGGACCGGAGGTGCGTTCTGAAGGCGTTCTGAACGGGGTCGTGATATCCATGCAGGGGGGCTCCCAGGGGAGCACGGCAGATGTGTTGCGCACGTGCATTTGGTCGGGGAAGAAGACTCGGAGTGGGAGAGTTTTTTTGGCCCCTTGGTTTCACGGTGCCAGGACTGCCTCATGTGGCTGAAGCTGCTCCTCCTGCCCACGGCTTTGGGCCTTTGGGGGAGTTGTGGGGTGCGGAGCCTTAGAAGGGTGGCAGGAGCTTGTGGGTTTGCAAGGAATTTATATGGGAATACCGTGGAATTCATGTGATTTTGGGGTTGCTTGACTAGACCAGAAGGCTTTTTCAAAAACTTCTGCTGCTCTTCGCTGCAAAGGGCCATGGTCTTTCCACAGGACTTTCCACGGAGTGTTTTCGCACTGGAGTGGGCGTCGCACAGTTAAAGGCTTCTTGGGCCTGCACCCGATTGGCTGCCCCCAAGTGGTACATCTAGGATCATATTAGGATCAGAAGCATTTGGCGCTAACCATCACACCTCTCCATCACACCCCACTCGAACGCAGCAGCTTACTGTAACTCGCAGCAGACATGTTTCACGCCATGGGCCGACAGTCCAGGGCCCTTGCACTCCGACTCCACTTCTGTCAGGTTTTGATGCGTGCCGATCTGGAGATAGCTTTGGGGTAAACGATCTGGATGGGTTCTGGGTCGTCACCCACCTGGATGCTCCAGTCCACCATGGATGTCCGAACATGAGCGGCTACGATCTTCCAGGTACACCTGGATTTTCTGTCCAACATAGCTAGATGCAAAATGGGGCCTTTTTCATCCTTTTTCAACATCGGCCAGAAGGCAGACGGTTTGCAGAGTTGGAAGATGCAGGCATATATTTCTGCACAATCCCCAAAGTCAGTTGGACAACAGAACAAGATCTGTTTTCAAAAAACACGTGCTTTCGTGTCCCCTTCTGCTACAGAAGCTGCCGCAGACTAAGCCGTTCACATCGCGCTGATCTCAGGCGAGTTGCCGAAGCCCTTGGACTTGCAGACCGGGCCTCGGTGGAGGATGCGGCACGAACGATCGAGAATTGATGAAGACCCAGGTCCAGGTCATCATGATCACAGCCGAAACGAGTGTTTTTCTGAAGGGGTTCTTGGGATTTCGCGGGGCCTTGCCAAGAATAACACGACACCAGGTGGTGAACTTGGTGAACTTCTTCGCTGCTTCCAGTTCTTGACAGAAAAGTTATATAAAGGTGTCAAAGCTTGGCGAGTTGATTTTGCCTTTGAAGACGTCCTGCAACATAGGAAGTCACCAGCCGGCTCAGTCTCTCAATGCCCTTTGTGCACCAGTGGAAACAATCATTGCACCTTCCTTTTTGTCCAGAAGGTAGATGAATGCCAACTTCGTTCTATCATTTTTTTCAGTTCTAAAACTGCTAATTCAATACAAGAGGACAAAAGGAGATCTTAAAGATGGACAATTCCAGTCCTGGCTTAGCTTAGAATGAGCTTGCTGCAGAGAGTGTGACATTGATGCATCCAAGTCTGAGACTACCCCACCTGGATGTCATGTACGCTTTTTGTTGTATTGTGTAATAATGTGTAATATAATAGGATTAACAAACATATTATATAGTTATATATACTGTAATTTATAACACAACCTTTTTTCCCTGGGTCATTTGGGGGTGGATCAAGTTCCAGGAGACATTTTTGGTGAACTCTGCCGCCAAGAGCAACAGGCAAATAATATCATTCGAAGAACTGGCATCTCCCAGAAAAGGGTGGTGGGGGGGCATACTTTTAAAACCTTCATCTCCACGATGTTTACACCATTTGTCACTCTCCAAAGCAGAAGGGCTGGTGATGTCAGGGGACTCGGTGGCCACGCGTTCGGCCCCGGCAGGTCCGGCAGGTCCGCCCTGGATGTCTGGCACCGACCGGGCTGGAGCGGGATGGAGCCGGGCTGGAGGGGTCATGGGTCCAACACATCCGAAGAGGCGGTAGATGTGGATCCTCCCGGGTCGAGGTGATGGTGATGGCAAACATCTTCCTTTTCTTCACTCGAAGAGAATGTTGGAAGTGGATGAACTGCCACCGAAGTATAGTGGCACCGTCCCTTTTTGTATTTCGGAAAAGGGATGAGGGACAGGGTCCTCCTTTCGGGGATGAACTGCCATCCACGTAACCATGATGTTTTCAGGGAGGTTGAGGAAGAGAACATTGTGATGATTTCGCACCATGTGAAACGCACCAACTGTTGCTTCACAGCTCTTCGTTCGTTCACACTCTACTGTTCAGAACGACCGTAAGGGACCCTAGTTATGCCCTTTCAGAAAACCTGCATTTTCCCTGGATGGCACCCTTTGCTATTTCCCAGGATGGTGATACCTCCTTCTCCACCAAACCTCGCGATCACCACCAACCACCGGCGACCCGACCGGCGACCGCCGCAGCGGGTCGCGGCGAGGATGCTGCGGCAGCCCAGGGTGACGCTGCAACTGACCCTGCGGCGGCCGCAAGGGGCGAAGGAGTTGGGACAGACCGGTGGCGGGTGGGAAAGACGCGAAAAAAAACAAGGGATGTATATATATATATATATACATGCATGATACATATATCTACATAAATATATATATATATACATAACATATGTATGTGTTTTTTTTTGCACATACTATATATATATACACGATATACTAAAACACACAACCTGGTAACAAGCTTTCAAACAAATTGTTGACACTGAGAGTTTCCCCCTTTTTTTCCGGGTTCATGTGTGGCCTTCTTTTTGGGTGTGACTTCGCATCGAGCGGCTTCAAGCATTTCTTTCGCAGGGTAGAGCATGATTCACCTTGAAGGCATGCATGCCAGAGGCCAAAAGTCAAAGTAGTTGACATATTGTTGACATATATTTCATTTATAACTCCTAAGGATTTCTGGTTCAAGCAGGCTTTCAGGCTTTCTGACCATGACCGGAGTCCGAGATGCCGAGGCGGCAGCTGGTCCATCTGATTCTTCACAAATAAGGTCGGTCGCCTCCTCAAAGCGTTGCGTAAACTAGCCTTCTGTATCCATGTGTTCGACACCAAGCTTTCCTCCAAAGAACCCTTAGAACTTCCCTAGCCGCCCCAGCTGCTCCAGCTGCTCCTCCCATCGCCTGCCAAAGGGTCTTCCTGCTGCCATACTTTTGGTTGGTTGGATTCGATGTCTCGGGGGCTCTCCCTCCGCTCGTGGACGACCGGGCCTGTCGATGACTCGGTCCGACCCGGCCTGCGCAGCGCCACATCGATCCCCGTCGCCCTCGTTCGCAGGAGCCGACGGCGGCGGAGGTGGTGACGACCGAGGCAGCCGGTGCCAACCGGAGGGTCCAAGTGGATGCGACCCAGCCAGGACCACGTGACATGCGCGGGGGTTCGTTCCAGGTCTTGGAGCATCTTCCCTTTCTTTTTTGGGTTCGAGGTTCTGAACAACCACTCACCAGTTTTCAGCTTACACCAGCAAAAATGCTTGAATGTCAGACGGGAGTGGATGCCCGACCATCAGTTGCTGGGTGATGCTGGGTCGTTTGAAGCTAGCTTGTCTACCACGGTTTCCCTCCTCCACGACTTCCTGCCCTCCCGTGCCTGGGGGGCGCCGGATGTGAAGTTTCTTCCACGTGTGGCTCGCAACGACGCGCAGATGGGCTTGCGAATTCTCAACGAGCGGGGTGGCCCTATAGAGCGGGTCGATACTGCCGGTGAGAGGAGAGGCAGTGGCGAGGATTGTAATCACGTAGTCGTATGTTTGAGGCAAGCGCAAAAGATCATGTGGGGTCACAAAGATCATACCTTTGTGATTTGCTGGTGGAGAAGTGGGCCCGGTGTGAAATATCACTGCAAGTGCCTTCAACTTTGCAAGATCAAGCAGTTAGCTGGGAAGTACATGCCCATTTGTCTCCCTGGTGATAGCAGCGCCATCACATCCAGTGTCCGAAAAGGTTGCCCCGCCCTATGGTCAACCTTCATAAAGTTGACCGCCCACCGCTTTACCTTTGAGGATGCCTTGAGAGAAATCAAGGAATTGCATTTCCTGACGCAACACAGGAACAGGAAGCAACAAGAACTTGATAAGGCCACCAAAAAGAGGGAAGAAGATGCCAAGAATGAGGCGTGGATGAGCAGGGTTGCCAAAAAGGCAAGGACCATGAATTTGCACATGGAAGACCAATGGTCTAAGGAGCAAGGCATCCCATTGGCTTCATTGCAAGATGTGAAAAACCAGTGCAGCCCCAGCAGTGGCAGCATCACCACGGGTGAATCCACCAATGGCCCACCAATGCCTCCACAAGGATCGTCCTTCATTCCCCCACAACCGTTATTTTTTCAGGGGCACTCCACAGATGCCCGGAATGTGGCGAAGTTTCGGCGAGGTGGGAAATCTTTAACCGCTTGCAGAACCGTCGGTGGTTCAGATGCACAAGATTTAAGCGCCATGGATGCGCTTTCAAGCCACCACTGCAGGTTGATGTCGATCCGCTTGGCGAAGTTGGTGGATTTGGGAACCACCTGGAAGATTGAGACAGGCCACGCATGGCGACGCAGGGCGCGCAAGCGCGACACGTTCGGGGTGATGTTCCGACCGGTTCGGGGCGATGGCGGCGACGGAGGCACCGTCCAGGCAGAGAGATAAGGGGGAAGGTGGTCAATAAGATGCGCTGTGAAGGAAAAACGCACCGGAGAGACACGAACCCCGGGATGTTGGGTTGCTTGGGCTTCCCATGAGCACCTTGTCCCAGATTTGGGTCAAGGCCCGTGGTCAACCCCGTTTGCGTTGGATGGTCTAACCTTGCCCCGGCTGTGCGGGCGAAGCGGTAGGGCCATCGAGTTTTTCGATCCATCTGAGTGCGGAGCTTGGTTCGCCAGGAGGGGTGCTTGGTGGAACCAGTGGAAACCAATTTGACTGAAGAACTTATTCATCAAAAACCCGGAAAGATGGACATCGAATCGGCATGAACAATCATTTGTAACACATCGTTTCTATTAATTATTTCACAATTATAACGCATTATATATTGATTTGCCAGCGCGTGGTTTGATGGGGATGATTTCTGCGCGTTAGCTTTCCGGCACTTTCGTGTTCTTCAGCCAGTACTCGTAGTTTCTTCACTGTTTCTCATCAAAAGGGTCCGTTTTGCGCGACCCAATCCAACCAAACATGCCGTTTCAGAGCGTTTCAGTTCATGTTGTTCTTTTCGGGGGTTGCGGATGGTTCACCATGTTTCACCATGCAAAAACACTACCCATGAGCATTCAGCTGCCTCGCGGGCCAAGGCAGCTTCGTCGGCCATGCCAAGGGGCACTTCTCTCAGGCAGAGTGTTGGTAAGTCGATGTTTGCAGATCTTGCCCGAGTGAAAAACATCTTCAAACCCGGGCAAAACCATGAGCCCTGAAAGGTTGAAGAGGTCCTGTAACCAGGCCATGGCTTAAACAGGATGAGCGGTTTTGTGTTTTTTTTGGCAAGAAGTTCTTGCCCAATGGATGAGTTCAAGTGGACGATCCTTCCGTCTTCGAATCAACAGGTGCTGGAGCAGCTGACGCAGCCAGAGGAAGAGGCCTGGGAAGGATAGGCCGCAGGATCCTGCAGATGCGTTTCGACCTTAGATCCTAAAGATCCCTAGAGGTCTTAGAGATGCCTTTAGGATCCTTTAGGTCCATTTCGGAGGGTTGTAGTCACTTGTCGGAGTTTCGCACCATGTGCCCAAGTTCTTGGCGGAATTCTGCGGGCCCAAGTTCGGCCCCTCCAAGTTCGGCCCTCCTTGTCGTGTCGCGCAGCGAAGTACGGTAGGTCCGTTCCGAGGGTCCAGCTGAGCCCTTCTGTTCTTGTCTTTGGACAATGTTTGCTGAGCCCGACTGAACAACTGAGCCCTTCAAACCTTATGTCGCTTTCTACGTCATCCGCCGTACCTTATGTACATGAACACTGTGGGAAGGGGAAGGCCTCGCGGTAGCAGTAGTCAATCGTCCATATTGCAAGCAAATATGTTAAAAGTCTCAGAGAGGCAAGGGGATCCTAAGTTTTACCATGCATGTTTCTTTTTTGTTTGGCTCTTGTTGATTTTGTTGCCGTCGCAACGCATCGAGGGGGTCCGGCCAAAAAACATGCCATAGCTGACTGTTCAGAACCGCGACAACTAGCCCCGGACCATGTCTCTTTATCTCTGGTTGCCTCTGCATCGCATGGTCTTCTTCGCTTCAACAGGCCGGTGATGGCGCTCTGAAGCGCTTGCGGCGCTTGCGACGGGAGCTGAACATGGAATTCGAAGACCAGAGCGAGGCACCGGTGAACCGCTTTGGGCGATCGACGTCTTCGGCTGGTTGTTCACCGGCTGCAAGATCAATAGCCAAAGGCCGTTCGGAACGACTGGAACGCGACTCGTTTCGTGATTTTCGTGGTTTTGCTCCCACCATTTGGGATTGAAAAGGTCAAGGATAGGAGGTTTTGCCCTGAGGAAACTGATTGGCCTTTGTACTTTTTGATGTGAACACTACTCTTATAGCTGGGACTGGAGCTCAAGAATTTATTCCCAAGAGCTTTGAGACAGTTGAGAGATGATTGCAAACTATGCATTGTGGATACAGAGCATGCATACAGAAGAAACAGCACAGGTGGTTAGCTAAGCTTCTCCCGTTTCTCGCGATATTTTGCCCGCAGTGTTTTCCAAGATTTGCCCAACCGCCCGAGTGTGTTGTTGCTTTGCTTGACATATAGCCAGCTTCTAAATACAGCTCCTGATCCTGATCCAAAACGCTACTCGTACTACGTGCACGCAGACAATGCCAAACAATGCAATTGTGTGAACAACACGGCTGGGTTTGGAAGCCATTTCATTGTAAAGCAAAGAAGGCCAGTGGCAGCCTCAATCCGGAACACGTGAGGCTTTATCCACTTTGATTGTGATTTGAGCACAAATCAAAGTTTGGCCCGAGTTTCTGGAATTAGCCACAACATGTCGATGTCACGATGTCTGATTTTTGGCTTCAGGCGGAACATCTCGTCCGAGTGAGCTCCAGTGGTATGTAAGTATGTATAAGTCTCCGCCCGAATAGAGAACCTCTCCCTAAACCAGAACACATGCCTCCAAGTGTTGTTTCCTTCTTTATCAGATCCTCTGGGGTAGCCAGACCTCGGAAGCCCTCGTCGTAGTCACCCACCAGCGTGCCGCTGGGAGGCGGTCTTGAGCGCCGCGGCCCGCGAGCGCGCCATCCTCTTGACGCCCGGGGCCTCGACGCCTCGACCCGGGCGAGGTCGGTGGGTTTCCGGAATCGGAACTGGGTGAAGACGGTGAAAAACCGGTGAAGATCCTCTTCATCCACTCCCCTTCACTCGGTCAACCACTCCCCTTCACTCGGTCAACCCGGTTATCGACCGCGGAGAGTGGACAACCCATTCGACGACCACCCGTGATGTGTGACGGTCCAAGGCCAAAGAGCTTTGGGCGTCCAGAGCTGCTGGAGGCTCTAGGCGCGCAAAGCCCGCGAGTTCTGGAAGTCCATGTATGTTCCCAGAGTTGAAGTGAATTGATCGTTTTTAATGGGTTTGGAGGATTTTTAGATGACCACTCCTTTGGGAAGTCAGATGGGAAACCTCGCCCGAAGTACACAAAGCAAAGTGATTGCATTCAGATTGTGTTCAAGTTGTGCTCCAAAAGATGTTCACTTTGCAATCGCCGTGTTCAAGATGCGCTGTGAAGCAACAAAACAAGTTGAAACACGACTATCTCGTACGCATTTCACTTGTTTTTCATCCAGTTAACATAAACTTGCCAACAAGAGTGTCTGTATATACTCCTAGACCCTTCATATAGGTGACGTGGTCTAGTATTCAGTCCATCTACAGCTTGGGCAATTCTTTTCGTTTGGGGGGCTCAACAAAAAAGCAGCGACATTGGACTTTGGATTCTCCTGTTCTATTTCTTTGTGGTTTGGGCACCTGATTTTTAATCCATAGACAAGTAGTCGATTTGCTGCAATGCTAGACCCTGTTGGAGGGGAGCTTCCCCAACTAGTTCTTCTCCCAGAAGGTTCTTCTCCCAGAAGGTTCTCCTCCCAGAAGGTTCATCTCCCAGAAGGTTCATCTCCCTTTGCACTTGTCAACCGGTTCTTACCAGTCCCCAACCACCTCAACCACCTCGCAGTTCCATGGTGCGCGTCACCAGGCGCCGAGAACACTAGCACCTCCAGGGCGCTGGCCGCGGTGCTGGTACGACGCTCTGGCCATCTGGCGGTCACCGGCCTAGCACGGGCGCCCCAAGATCAATGCTGGGCCCCTGCTGGGCCAAGTGACCAAGTGAAGGTGTGCTGGGCAGCTGGGGAGTTGCGGTTGCTGAGCTGGTGGGTGTTGCTGGTTCCAGGTGTAGCTGGTACCGCTTTTTGATCTTTGTCACTCTAGAGGGGAGAGAATGTCCTTCTCACTACAAGTAATCAGCACTCCATCAACAGGAACTCCAAGCAAGGTCATTTCCAAGCATGACCTTACCAACCGGTTTCACGGTTGGTCGAGGAAGGGGCATTCTTCCCATTTGTCAACCCCCGATGACACGATTAGTCGTGGAGGTTTGGAAGGAAAACCACTGAGTAATTCACTTGGCACATGGTGAGCACTTGATCTTTGTGGCCAAGCTGTGTTTCTTAACCGTACTTCAGTTGAAGACCACATCCTCCACGTGGGCGAGAACGGCACGTAGATCACGAAGCCACGACAAACAAAGTAATTAGACACCGTGCGTTCTTTCTTCGGGGTTAAGACGCGCCCGTGCGCGTCTTCGTGGAAACGTTTCGCTGGCTGAGATCATGGGAAATGCTTCGAAGGAGGAGGCCAAGGAGCTTCAGGCCTGGGGTGGCTGGTGGCAGGGTGGTGGTGGCACAGGACAAATCATTTTCGTAAACTTTTGGCCACTCCAAGCTGTTCCAACACCCGTCTGTTGAAGAGCTGCCTATTAGAAGGATGGATGTCTCTGACTCTTTAGTTTCACGTCAAATCCTTTTCCAGATCGCTGAGGCTCATCTGCTTCAACAGCTGGGACTCGGCACGCAGGCCTTGGAACGGAGGGATCGGCCCGGGGATGGGACTGGGCACCGAACTCCCCACGAGGCGCCGTGGACGGTTCCACTGACCCCAGACACAAGGAAGGGCGCGGAGCGCTCGAAGATGTGTTCAGGGTCAAGTATATGTTTTTTTTTTTTAATGGGGGGGTGTTAGTGGTCCTACCCGCCGTCAGTGGATAACCATTATACTGTACATATATATCACTCTTTTTAGAGATGGGTTTCCCCACTCAGCATGATTTTTCGGGAAACAGTCAGTTGGTGAAGGGGTTGCCCCACTCCTACTGACACACATGGAATGGGATAACATGCCCCATCATTCCAAACTCAACAGTGAACTCTCACCACCCAAGCATGAATCCATCCCTTGGTGAGTTAGGATTGTAATGGACAGTAATGGATTGTATATACCGTACCATACCGTACCAACTATATGGGTGTGTATTGAAAGAGGGAGCTGAGACCTCCCAAAGACCCCCTGCCCTGGAAGAAGGAAAATAGACCCAAATCCATTAGTTGGGGTCTCCCTACCAAGATACACATCCGTATATATGTATATATATCCGTATCATACATCCCCACCATTGTTCCAACCATCCTTGCGCTCATCACACTAGGACCGGTGTCATCCCCCCTCGTTCAGCAGCTTGTTCGCCTGTCGCCCTGGCATCGACCGAAGCACGACGCGGCCCCGGAGGTCCAGGTCCTCGCCGCCAACCGCAGCGAGCGGGTTCGGAGACCCGCTCCCGGTGGGGTCACTGGTGGCCATGGTCGATGGGGTGGGATGGGTGCGTCTCAGAGGCCGCTTTCCCTCTTGGAGCCATGGGGTGGTGGCTCGGCCATGCCTGGAAGGCGGAAGAAACACCCTTGCAGACAAGAAGGAGGGTCATGGTGCTTCACCCTTCCCTTGAAACAAAGGAGGCTTGGGTGGATCTGTAGAGTGTAGGCTGAGCTCTTTCATGTGTGAGTCCCAATGGCTGCTAGGCTACAGATACTCTGATCTGCCGTGAAACCCAACATCTCTGGCGTCTCGGGCGTATCAGAACCAAAGGACCTTTTGGCAACTGGAAGGGAGGCCCTGGAGCCACATCAAATGGCCTCCTATTGTAATAGTTATAAATATGGGGCTGGGTGTTTTTTTTGCTAATGTTTTTTTTTCTTATGCTCACAGCGGGGTTGGTGTGCTTTTGGGGTATGGGTTTCTTTTTTTATGCTTATAGTGCTTTTTTTATGCTAATGGTTTTTTCTGTTATGCTTGCAGTTCTTTCTTTTATGCTCCTGGTTTCTTTTTTTATGCTAATGGTTTCTTTTTTTATGCTAAGGGTTCTTTTTTTTATGCGGCACTGTGGGAAGAGGTCACGTTGGGGGGTCCTAGTGCAGAATGTAATTGTCAGGAGGGTTTAGTGCAGAATGTAATTGTCGGGAGGCTTTAGTACAGAATGTAATTGTCGGGAGGTTTTAGTACAGAAAGTAATTTTCGAGAGGTTTTAGTACAGCAAGTAATTGTCGGGAGGTTTTAGTACAGAAAGTAATTGTCGGGAGGTTTTAGTACAAAACGTAATTGTCGGGGGGCTTTAGTACCGAATGTAATCGTCGGGGAGTTTTAGTACAGAATTAAATGTCGGGGGCCTTTAGTATCGAATGTAAGCGTCGGGGTGTTACCGAATGGACAATTATTCATGAACGAACCGTTCAGTGAAAGGTGATGCATTCGTCAGCAGAAACCGAAAAGTGATGAGTTCCAGTATCAACTGATATCAATTGTTTAAATGAACGGTAGAAATGTGGCCAAATGGGCTCCAGTCAGAAATCAGGGTCGCTTCGTGCGGTGTCTGTGTCGGTCCGTCCGGCATGGGTGGGCAGTGATCAAGCTCCTCTCTCGTTGGATCTCCTCGCTGGAGTTTTTTGGTTTCCGCCAGCAAAGAAGTTTTCATCGGGGAAGAGTTTGCATGTCACCATCCAAGAAAAGACGCGACTTCCACAGAGCCTCTGCTCATGCCACGCGTCAGAATGCTTCCGATCGAAAACAGGGCCGTTCTTCTGCCAGCCGTTGTTCTTCCCGACGCAGAAGGGCTTTGTGGCTGGCATGGAGGGCAGATGGCCATTCCACCATTCCATCAGACAAGGTTTGGTTGTTCTACCGTCTCGCCCTTGCCGCCAAAACTGGAACTGGAGTGTTGGGTGAATTTCTTTGCAATTCCTTGCCTGTGCAGCCGCCGGTCAGAACTCGGCAACGAGATGTTTTTCCCTTGGCCCCGCTTGGTGGTAGCATGCTGAAGCCTGTAGACATGACAAGTGGCAGGTGGAGCGTGCTCCTCCAATTCATCAACGTGGTCATTGGCATTCTGAACTGGTTGCACGGCATAAAGCAGACAGTGCCGACTGGCAAGCACACGTTCGCTCAACAAGCAGTTTTGAAAAACATCGTGGATCGCACAGTGTGGACACTCACACGCCTGCAACATGCGCAAGATGGCTGGGAGCGGTTTGTGCCAGATTTTGTCCCAGGTTTCACTGCAGGTACAACTTCTTTCCAAGACTTGGTTGCTGACAGGGTGGACAACTTGCAAGCGGCTGGCTTATGCGATCCTTTGCCCCACTTGCCAGCCCATGTGCGGGCCAGCTTGGCAACACCTGAAGGAATCCTTGACAACAGCGATGATTCTTTGCGTGTTTTTGAATCTTTCTCCTTAAGGGCCCGAAAGACGAATATGCAAAATTGGTTGTCAAGCAGCTGCGGTGTGGTAAGTTGAGTTTAGCAACTTTTTGCAAGGGTGGTGGTACCACTCTCGCTGTTGGGAAGCCTGGGGGTGAACGCCTGAGGGAGGTATGGCACGGCCGACGTGTTTAAGAATCAGCTTCTGCACCTCCAAAGCCGAGACACTTGGCTTCCCCAACTGCGTTGACCTTTCTGGAGTGCAGCGATGGAAGACCACTACGCCTTAGCAAGCGCGATGCTACGTGTTGGTTTGACCAGTTGAAGCTTCCCAGCTCTCTTCGTCGATACATGGCCAAACCGCCCATCTCCACAGTGGAACTTGTCAATGCTGGAATGTCAGTGGCGGATCAGCGGCAGCACATGGAAGATGGACATGCTTGGCGCGAAGGTTTGCTATATCCTTTGCACTGTGTCTGGCCTATGGGATTTTCTTGGTCTTCTTACATAGCCCAAGAAGAGATGCTGAGTGTTTGTCAAGATGCTGGCATACCAACTTCATCTCTCTTGGCTTGTGATTGCGTGACACCTACATCGTTTGAGCTTGTTGCTGCGGTGGCCACCGATGATGTCATGATTTTCAGCGACGCTGGCCCTGGTGCCACCTGTGAAGCAGCAAGAGCTTTCGATGCAGCTATGGATGCACGATGCGCAGTCCGAAATCTTAAGAAGGACGTTGACGTACCTGTGTTGGGGTTGACTTAGTAGACGGATACTTTCTGGATGTGCCGGGGGGACGCTACTTGGCCATGATTCTGACAAATTGAAGCTTGAGCACTTTTCCGACATCTTCAGTGTTCGCTCCAAATTTCATGCACACATCAACGTCCTGGAAGGTGAGGCATTCGTGCTTTTCTTGAAGTGGCTTCTGCGGTCCACCAAGCACCACTCGACAAGAGTTGTTGTTCTGCTTGACTCTGCAGTTTTCTGGGCGCGGCCGCGAAAGGGAGGTCATCTTCACAGTTGAACAGGCTGTTGCGGAAGGTCGCTTCTCTGGCGATGGCTGGAAATCTTCAGCTGCATTTTATCTTTTTCCCCTCCAGCGAAAATCCAGCGGATTTCCCTTCGCGTGGCAAGAAGAGGCGAGCGCGAAAGTGAAGCAGCTCTAGGCTGCACGGAGTTTTTCAGAAGCCCTGCCTTTCTGGCATGATGTGCAAACTTCCGAACTTACACCCTAGAATTCAATTTTGTCAATTTTGATGGGTGTTCGTGTTGCTGGCGCTCGGCGTCCTACATCCGGGCACGCTGCGGTAGATTCTGCGCGTTCTGGCGCAGAACTGGCTCCGACGGGCAGCTGGAAGATGCTTGGTGCTGATGTTGGGCGCTCGGGCTACTGTGAGTTTGCTCCGCTCACAAAGGCCTCAACGGCGCACTGGTTGATGTGATAATCTGCTCTCTGAGACCCACACACACAACCGGTGGAATTCTTTTTGGTTTGTCGCCAGTGATTTTCTCTCACAGCCAGTGCCGGTGGTCGGGATTGATGATCATTAATGCTGGACCTGAACAAAGCTGGCAAAGTCAGCTGTGGACAGTGGTTGTAGCATGATCAAGTTCTAACCTCTCGGCAATCGCGCCCGGTTCACAAAAGATTCGCATCCTGTCCTTGCTGTACGGTGCTGCTTGGCCTGAAACTCCTGGGAGGCTGGAAGGAGAGGTGCAGTCTCATGAATGTAATCGTCGGGGAGTTCTAGTAATCGTTTGGCTCCAGACTTTTTCTGCCCAATATTGCACTGCGTGGCATAAAAAGAAGGTATGCTCGTCGTTGCTCGCGCACTTACATCGTGAGAGGGTCTTCCAAGTTGACTGACCCTTTGGTGAGCCACCCGAGGGTAAAATTTAGAGAAGGATGTTGCCATTTCAACTTGACTCACCCTTTTGTGGGCTATGCAGGGGTAAAATTAAGAGAAGGATGTTGCCATTTCAACTTGACTCACCCTTTAGTGGGCAGGGGTAAAATTTAGAGAAGGATGTTGCTCTTCCAAGTTGACTCACCCTTTGGTGAGCCACCCGAGGGTAAAATTTTGAGAAGGATGTTGCCATTTCAACTTGACTCACCCTTTTGTGGGCAAGGCAGGGGTAAGATTTAGAGAAGGAAGTGGTCATTCCAAGTTGACTCACCCTTTGGTGAGCCACCCGAGGGTAAAATTTAGAGAAGGATGTTGCCATTTCAACTTGACTCACCCTTTTG